GATCCTGTCGAGAGATGACCAAATCACAGTCTCAGTGCACTGGAAAAAAAAAAAAAAACACATTGGATCTAGGGTCCAGACTCTTGAAAACATTGACAAGGAAAAGGACTCTTGATTCAATTAGATTTAAGCTTGAATCAAAAGGAAATCCGCTCAAATTATAAGTGGCTTGGTTCTCGATTTAAGCTTAAATCTGATTGAATCAAGAGTATTTTTTCTTGTCGATGTTTTTAGGAGTCTGGACTCTAGATCAAATGTATTTTTTTTTCTAGTGCTCACTGCAAACGAGCCCTGTTTCGAACCACAAACTGCTCCTACGACACAATCCTCATTCCCGCGGAGGACTCCACTTTCCTCGCGAGAGTGCATCGGCAAATATTTCTGGCGACCCCAACAGGAAAATCACCGTTGTCGGTTAACTCCGGGCCTCGTATCGGCGGCGACCTTGGGTTCCGCTCGGGGCGTCACAGTCCTCGGTCACGCTTTCGGCGTTTGTCATGCAGATGCGTGGTAGTGGCTCGTGGCCGATCATCGCGTCCGTCGCGTCGCGTCGGTCGTGGTCCATCCGTCAAGCCGGGCGCGATCATGCGTCGCGACGCCGAGCGAGTGCGCGTCGCGGCGCCACGCGGAGGATTCGCGGCTTCCAATTCGGGTCAGCGCCGCGGTCGCCGCCGGGTCGGAGGTGAACACTGCCGGCAAGGTCGGGCCTAGGCCGCGATGCCGATTCGGGCGCCATGATTATTTATTTTTATTTTTAATTAATTATAATTTAATGAAACTATTAGAGGAGATTGTAAGAAATCAAATTCCCGGGAAAGTCGAGTGTGAAGATCTGAGAACAAGCACGAGAAGTTCCAGGAACGGTTCAAATATTACCTACGGTACTTACGAGGGAATCAAGTCTGCGGGCTGATTATTGAAATTGATAGATAAAGCAATTCACGAAGAAGACAAAAAGAAAATGAAGCGATTCTATCGGTGAAAGCGGGTGCGGTTGCAATGGACGAAAGAGGTAGGTATTAGACTAAGAACCAAAGAGATATCCTACTGTTGGTTCATCATTTCCCACCTTCGTCATCAAAAACACCGAAAGTTCCGACTAAAGGATCGCTTTATTTTCCCTGCACTGAGAAAAAACTATGGCTTATAAACCTATTAGAGGTAAATATGGAACACCACTAATAGTAGTACCTCTACATATAATAATAGCACATATACCTTAGTTATGGTCTCTGTACCTTAATTAGGTACAGAGACCTTAGTATGGTTCACAGACCGAGAATCATTAGTTTATTTACGACTATTATAGGTGTTCCATATTTACCACTAATAGGTTTATAAACCATAGCTTTTTCTCAGTGTGTGCCTACGTTGTCTATAGCTTTGTCTATACTACTACTAATAAGTCGCTCTTACAGCGCTTCTGTGCGCTTTGCAACATTCAACCGCCACTGACAGCGATCTTGCCAGAGCTCCTCTAGCAGATCGCATCTCCTCATTTCCTGCCTTAATCCCTCAATCCACGATTTTGCAAGACGTCCTCTACGTTTCCTTTACGGCTTTGTCTATAAATTTCAATAATCTGCCCCTCGGCTTGCCTTCCTAGTTTCAAAATCAAACAGATGAATTTTCCTGAAGTTCCGTAAAAATTGTCCTTTGATGATGCTTTGTTTGAGCTCTCTTCAGTTCTTCCTTAATTACAATGTAAACCTCTTCTGCTCTGCCGTGATAGCGAAGAGAGCAGGAGGTGCATGCTGGGATGAACCTCGAGACACATAAAAGCATTTGCTGATCATGGCTCATACAGAAATGCACTTACTGCTCTCTTCGCTATCACGGTAGTGCTGTAGGTGCACCCGAACGAAAGAAGCTGTTCAAAGAGCGATAATGAGTGCTGGTGGATCTGCTGAGCAAACAGCGGAACGTGAATAGGAAGCCTTCATCCGCGTCTGAAGTGGGATGACCGATGCCTCGGAGTGGCCATGATTTTTAGCTTCTCCGATCCCGACGAGGAGTCCGCGAATCTAAGTGTCCGATTGTTGCACGCGTGAACAAAGGAGGGAGTGAAGAGCCACTAAAAATAAATCGTGCATCAAGGAAAAATTCAAAGGAGCAGCGCCGCATCCGACTGAAAAGCACGAGCCACGCAACCTTGTGCCAATGTTGCCGCACCTGCATCCCATCGTATACGGGATACCGTGATTGGTTCGAGCAAATTTATCGATGGATAAAGTCCGAAGACTTTCAACTTCGATTGCAACGTTGCAAGTCTTCATCATTAATCATCATTAGGCAACAAATAGGGTTCGACTCCGAATTTCGCATCTACCTTACCCAAATACTTAGGTACGTTTATTCTTTGTGTTGGGGGCCGTCCCTAAATTATGATTGAACACTCTAGAGGGGAGGGGGGAGTGTTACGCCATTTTGTTTTCAAGTGTTAAAGGATAGGGACCTACGTCACCAAAACGTTACAAGGGAGTAAGGGGGTTAAAAATGCCGAAAAAGTGCGTTACGTAATTTGGGGACGGCATCTTGAGACAATCGGAATCAATTCCTGATTGGCTCCCGTGTTTAAGGCTTTCATGGTGTCACATACGGGCACAAAAATACAATATTCACAGGTCNNNACACAAATAGTCATTTTTTTGTCCCATTTCGTCCTAAAGATCTGATGACCCAAATTTTCATGATTTTTGCAAAAATCAGTAATAGACAATCCTTCACTAAGCCGCTTTCATTAGATTACCTCACGGGGGCCCGCAAGACCGGCCTATAGAGAATGCAAAGCGCCATCGGGAGGTTGGGCCGCGCAGTGGTTAGAGCTACAGCGGTGTATCCCCCTACAGCTTTTTATAGTATTTGATAGATTTACGGTTTCCTTAGCAAGGGACTATCTCCAAAGTTGTTCTCTACCATTTCACTTGAGGCTCATACAAATTGTCCTTCATCACGCTGCACTGGAAAAAAGGAAGGTGGTATTTTTCGGTGAATGTGCAGTCTATACAGAGCCTCAGAGCATGATTATTTCGTCACCTTCACTGCGAAAAAAAAACACATTGGATCTAGAGTCCAGACTCTTGAAAACATTGACAAGAAAAAATACTCTTAATTCAATCGGATTTTTGCTTGAACCAAAACGAAATCCGCTTAAATTAAGAGGCTTGGTTCTTGATTTAAGCTAGATTCTGATTGAATCAAGAGTACTTTTTCTTGTCGATGTTTTTAAGAGTCTGGATTCTAGATCCAATGTGTTCTTTTTTCCAGTGCGCTGTTTTGAAGGCTTCTTTCATCATCATCTAAACCATAGGCCCAGGCTCCCCTAAGGAAACGAACTGTTTCAGGAACGACCATGAACACGACTCATACATGAAAGTGAGATGTATCTTTAGTATATTGTCTCAGGACATGGAACCTGAAACGTGAGTATGAATATAGGTCAAATACAAAGTCTCCAGCCAAAAAAATCCGCGGTTCCGCCCTCCTCAGTTCGGACCCTCCATTGTCTAATCCGGAGCATGAATTTATATCAACCGGCGACATCCATTCATATGCATCCCGGGCCGGTTATCACCGGATTCGCCGCTATTTTCGAAGCGCCCGCAATCAGCGTGCCTCCGTTTGATCTTTTCATGTCGACGACCGGCTTTAACGATTCGTTGCGCCGTTTTCATGAGCCATTAAACCCTCCGGGCCGCGTCTATTGTTGCCCGAAGAAAGCTCTTCGTCGTGATTACTGACCGTACCGATATCGAGGCGCCTCGCCCTCCGACAAACCGCGTAACTACCGTGGAAAGTGTGCTTTAGTTGCGGGATTTTTCCTCGGAGTGGTGGAGGAAGCGTGCGCACTTTACGATTTGATGACGCGAGTTTTATGTACGTTTCGGGTAATGATTGTGTCTCCAACTCTCCAGGTATCGCCAACTTTGTGCATGAAAATCCGATCCGATTGACTCGGAGACGATTTATTATATGTGATCGTCCACGGTGACGAAATTTTCACGAGTCTCGTCAAGTTGCGTCATAAAATCAGATTCTAATAATGCTACGGAGAACTCTTTGGTATCCGCAATTGAGATGTTGCATGTGTGAGGGATTTGCGATTTGACCGTTGATTCTTATGTAGAAGTTCGCGAGAAACACGATGGTGCCACTGGTTTTCTCTGAAATCAACTCCCAAGCTCAAAAAAAGCTCTCAAGTTGAGGTCAAAATGGAGGGGATATCCCACGCTACCCTGAGAGTCCACCTCTACATCAAGACAAACTCTCCATGCAAAGATAGGGAGCAAATACATTGGCAGGGTTGCCACTTTATTTGGGGACTCCAAAACTGAAAACACGGCAACCCTGCTAATGTATTTGCTCCCTATCTTTGCATGGAGAGTTTGTTTTGATGTAGAGGTGGACTCTCAGGGTAGCGTGGGATATCCCTTCCATTTTGGCCTCGATTTGAAAGCTTTTTTTGAACTTGGGAGTTGGTTTCAGAAAAAAACCAGTGGCACCATCGTGTTTCTCGCGAACTTTTACAGAAGAATCAATAGTCAAATCGCAAATTCCTCACACATGCAACATCTCAATTACAGTGAGCAGCGCAGATCACTGTTGTTGGAGAGTACGCGCATGATAATGGACCGCGTTTGACAGAAACAACCGATGTTGCACTTTGGAAAAATAATGAGTTAGGAGTGGTCTTGAATACAAATAGTGAATTTTTTCCTGTCAAAAATTTTGAGTCGAGAAAAAATAAATTGAACTTGTCGTTAAACCGTATGTTCTCAACATTGAGTCTTATGGAGAAATAAAACTTCAAGCCTACTTTTTTCGGTTCAAACTTGATGCGACTTGGTGCGTCCCTCGTTCTTGATGGTTTTCAGGTTTAATTCTCTCTTTCCTGCGTCGATGCCGTTTTAGATCGGTTTGCCTGTTTGTTCATTTGGCTTTTTTGTGATAAAACAGTATTTTTTATATTTATTACATTCTCGAAAGAAGCTGTTACTTACCGAGAGTGGAGGATACAGGTTGAGAGTTTGTAGATAATCCAATGTAATGCTGCAACAGAACAATTGAGACAATTAGCAGCTGTTGCTAGGATGAATAAAAAACATTAAATATACTTAGGATTGGATGAATAGAGTTACAGTGTTGTATATGCGTAAGATAAAATGTAATTTCAAACCCAAATTTCGTTCCTACGAACAAAATATTCAGTCGCCAAAACCGAAAAATTTTGTCCTTCGATATGAACCGAATTTGGAGATTTGCAATCGGCCTTTTTTTCAGTGGACCATCTGATTGATGATGAACAGCAAAAACCAAAATTCAGAACCAAGTCCGTTGATGAAAATAATAGGATACGATTTTCAGAATGAATCAAAGTAAATTTTGCAGGAAGGAACTACTATTTCTGAAGCATTTTAAAAACAACAAATGTGTGATTTATATCCCTTTGTCCAAATAGGGAGGTACTTTTATGAGTGAACCATATTTAGTAGTTCCTAACTGCCAAAAGTATTCCAAATAATTTCACGTCATATCATACTCACCGATTGTGTAAAATTAAGTTAAAACCACCAGTTGATTAATCCAAGTACAGAACAGTCCACAACACACCGAAACCGACGGAAATTATTTAGGCAGTGAGAATCGAAAATACCGAAGACTTCTTTAGACTGGCTCTCTGCATGTGGTACGACTTAAAGACGCATCTGCGTTGACGACTACTGTTTCACCGAAAAGGTGTTGGAAAATAATAATTAGTCGAGATACTCTTTGCTTTTATGAGAAATCATTGAATTAGAACTAGCCATATTAAATTGACACGTTTTCATATCCACTTTTATTTTCATTATCTGGCGATTGCGAAAAATAAAAGTTTTTTTAAAAAAGAAACGCATAATTAATTGTTTCATAAATTAATATAAGGATCAAAATTGGATGAATAATCAAGCTCGATATGTTCAAACATATCATTCGTCTTCAAAATTAAAATATCAACATAGACCTTCCGGCTCGTCTTCAGTCCCGAGTGGGTTTTAAGTTGTAAACATTGAAAAAAAAATAAAAAAGAAAGAAAAAAAGCGGAAGAGGAAAGAAAACTTTCAAATAATTCTAGCGTGGTGTAATCAGAGTCAATCAATTATGACCAAGTTCAAAACTCATGATTGGATCGCATTGAGCAGAAAGGAACCAGCGCAATTACAGTGTTTCCAAAATTGTGCAACTTCTTCTTTTTTACTTTTGGAAATACTCAACATAGGTACAAAATTAAATTTTACACAAAAATTTCCCTTTAAAATTAACAATTTTTTGGTGAGAAGCAAAAAATATTTGCTATTCTGATAGATTTTTTTAAGATACTTATGAGGAACCAACATTATTACAACACTGTAATCGCGCTGGTTCCTACTTGCTAAATGCGATCCGATTAAAAGGTGTTCGAGTAAATAAATTTAACGAGTTCGAAAATTCACATTTACGAACGGTAAATCCTTCCGTCGTAACCACCGCGACTATTAATTCGAGCTAACAGAAACACCGGGACGTAGGACGGCCGACACCGGACTGGTGTGCGCTAACTCACGATCGCAACGCGACTGATCTTCCGTGTTTTGACGCGAACTTGACTTAGTGACCGTCGCTCTCCCAACAATCCCCCCCCCTCCCCTCCCCCTCGGCTGCCCCCGAGACCCCCTGGGTTCTAGGTTTCCCAGTGCTGACTAGAATGCTGATCTTGTGCATACGCAAACGCATGGACAAACCAACTCCGTAGAAATAAGGGATCGTCAAATTTTAGTCGGTTTTCACTATCAGTCAAGTATGAATTCAACGGAACCGTGATTTGATGGTTAAGTCCGGTTCAGTAGGGGTTTCCGTATACAAGCGCTCTGGTTTCCTTTCTTCCATCCTTTTTTCATTATCGTTTACTTATCCGAGAAACTGACCATAATCACAGGAAATTCGAAAATTCTACACTTGGACAAGATACCGGCAAAATTAAGTTTTTTAGCGGCTACGTTTTTATAGTATTGTTTCTTTCTGTGATGCTCGTCAACGTATTTTATACATGCGCAAGAAGGGCTTTACTGTTCGAAGGAATTCGGGAGAACATTGTTATTTTTATATCATACTAGCGACCCGTACGTGCTTCGCACGTATGAAACATACAATCAGAGAAAACAGAATTCATCTCACAATAATCAATAATCAGTAGGACATGAATCGTTGCGATGTATTATACGACATTATAATGCGGCATTACTATTATAATGCATTAAAATGGATTATAGGCATTATAAATCATTATTACCACGTGGGAANTACAATTTTCCGCAATGTACTGTGAAGCAAGACTAATGGACAACATAGGACTTATATTCTCGGATCGATCTAAGAAAAAAAAAAAAAAAACCACGAAGCAATTTTTCTTATAAAACGGAGCATTGTGGGGCGAGAGAGAGCCGACCTGTTTTAAAAAACCTAGAGATTTGCTCGTCTGAAGCTATTGACATGGTTCCTTGCAGATTAATATGAAACAAGCGGGAAAGTTCTAATACTGTCGTATTAGAAAAGCGCTCAGGTGTTAGTCAATGTATTTAGTGAAAAAAGGAAGTATAAAATCCGTCGACTTGGCTGGGTAATGGAAATAAAACATAAGCTGATAGCAAACAAAGGTTACCAAGGAAACCGTAAACGCGTTTTTTCGTTTCCCGAAAATGATAGTCACCGTGGAGCTCATCAGGCGCGTTTTTTTTAGGCTTCTTTTATTTTCAACGATCAATTTCGATAAGAATTACTGTACCGCTAAGAAATTTTCTTATAGACAAACGATCGAAACTACCTGCGCATTACGTTAAAAGCGTAAAATACGATTTTCACAGCTTCATTTATTTTAAAACTGGACCCCCCCAAAAAGCCTACACATCGATGAGCTGGTGCGCCATTTAAACGAATTAGCACTAGTATACTAGTGCTCTAGAGGCAAGTCGAAATCAAAAAGCGCTGCCTATCGGCTGAGCGCTTAAAATATACTTTCAGTGCCAGCAAAGGAAAATTCGAAAGTCTCAGGGTAGTTTTTCTCGTATTTATTGGTGCAAGACAGCTAACGTTGGTAGGAGAATCATTATTTAGTGCACGCAGCTTCCAGGAAAAGAGAATTTCAGGACCGATTATGAAAGCGATCGTGAACGCATCTGCTTTAGCGACACGATGTAGGTGATAAATCCTGGATACAACTATTCGTGCTCCAAGGATGTCCCGGTTGCATAAACGAATAGTTGAAGGCGCTTCGATTTTCCTCGTTATAACCGCAGCGAAGTCTCATTACAACTTTTACAAAAGACAGTCTGGATGCAACTATTCGTGTTCAAGAAATGTCCGTGTTGCATATACAAACAGTTGAAGGCTATTTGCATTTTTTAAGCCAAAGAGAATTTATTCTCGGCTCGCTGACTTGTTCTTTCGTAAATGTTTCCGGGTTTCTCTCAACATACTTCCTATTCTTGAGCTAAGTTTTCTCCGACTTCGGCTGCCCTAATTATAGCAAGAAATTTAACGCTATACTGTGAAACACGAACCTCAGAAAATCCATTTTCACCGCGAGCGAACGATTTGACTCCAAAGGCTCTCTCGTGTAAGAAACCTGAAGAGCCCCGCAATAAATGTCAACCTTTTTAAGCCGACGAAATAAACGTGGTATCGACTGTACGACTAATGAAACACCTCGGGGTGAAATACTGCGATTTTCTCGGAATTATTTCATCCGAGAGCTTTTCAGCAGTGCTGCGCAAAACCGCAGATCTACGAAGGATTCCTATTGGAGTTACGTGCTTTTCATTTAAGGCTCGGTTTCAGAGTCGGTTGGACAAAGGATCGTCAGGGCTCGTTAATGAAAAAACATATGTGGGCTGGAAAGGCGCGGTGGACGAAATCCGAAAATCTGTTTAAATTGGTCTTGGAAGCGTCGTGCTCGCCCCTAACAGAGCCGCAAGTTTCATTTGTGGCTTCCAAGTGACCGCGAATCTCTCGTCCGCACTCAGCGTGCGGTGTTGTCCAACTTTAAAGGTAACACGCAAAAAGCTGGTTTGGCCCAAACCCTCTCGTTGCAGAGCAAATTTTTAAACTTCTAATCTAAAACTAATCCACTTTGGAAAGCATCGTAGGTAAAAAATTAACTCTAAGCTTTCAGTCTTGGTGCGTGAAAAAAGAACCTAAAAATCGTTCAAATGAGAATACTGATGTGTTTGTTGTTGTGTGCATTATTGTTTTCCATGTTATTTGGAAAAAGGAACCTTCATATTTCTCAAGAGCTAGTACTATATCACAAAACAGCGCATAATTGCAAGTTGCGTTCGATCGCGGTGCGTGTCTCATCGCTTCATTGAGGCCAGAGCATGAAAATCGGAGCGCCTTCAACTGTTCGTATATGCAACACGGACATCCCTTGAGCACGAATAGTTGCATCCAGACGATGCATTCTAATGCGGATTTGCGCTGATGTCGTTAAGACACGAAAAGCCAGAGCGCTTCCTTTTTTTCGAATATGCAACACGCACGATCTCAGAGCACGAACAGTTGTGCCTATTCCGGCTTTATCACCTACATTGGGTAGTTGGATCAAATGTTTTAAAACGCCGTATTCGTATTGGGTCCTGGAACTCTATTTTCCTGAAAGAAACGCATCTTATAATAATGTCCTTACCACGTTCAACTGTCTAGCGCCAATTGACACGGGAAAACACTCGGTAAGACTTTCAAACTTTTCCATCCAAAATTATTTCATCGGAACACCTACAAAAATCAGTGCAACGCTCGATTCGATTCAAATGCATTTCGGTTTGTGTCAGAATATTGGTTTGAACAGTCAAAAACAGAAAACGTTGATTCATACACGAGTTATATTTGTATACGACGAAGGTTTCAAAATTGACCATTTTCGCGAGTCTTATTTTAATACAGAAAAAGAAAAGCATATAACTTTCGTAAAATTCATCAGTCGTCATTCAGTGAATTTTATCAGATTTTTTTCTCAAAATGTTGTCTCTCATCAAACATAAATGGGGGAAAAATAGTTTTGACCTCTTATAACGAAACGTTTGCCTCACCCGATTGCATCGCTTAGATTAATATTGCGGAGTCATTAAAATTCGGGGGGAAAAATTAGCTTGGATCGAGAGTCCAGACTCTTAAAAAACATTGACAAGAAAAAAACCCTTGATTCTATCGGATTATTTGCTTGAATCAAAAGGAAATTCGCCTAAATCAAGAGGCTCCGCTATTGGATTCAAGGGAAAATCAGATTGAATCAAGAGTATTTTTTTTTGTTTATGCTGTTAAGAGTCTGGACTCTAGCTCCAAGCGACTTTATTTCTCACTAAATATATTGTCTCTGCTTAGAACTCGCTCCGATTCATATTTTGCTGTCCATTACTTCGCAACTCCGACATGGCAACGGGGAGTGGGCTGGCCAACGAGTGTAATTCCCGGTCCTGGGTCCGTTGCGGTTTGAAATTATTCAAATAAGGACGGCAATGGTCAACGCTCAACGCTCGGACGCGCCGCGAGCACCGGCCGGGGACCGGGATCAAAGACGCCCGCCGGAGAGGGAGCGCGGCTTTCTCCAACACGCGCCCGCTCTGCGCCTTCGCTCCTCGCGCCTCGCAACCCGCAACACACCCCCCTCCCCCGCCGTACAATGTTCGCGCTCATATTCGCTTCGACACCGCCGAGGAAGTCGGGCTCGCTCCCCTATTTACATCCGAGCCGGTCAGCCGGACGCTCCTTCCCGTCTTGTCGTCATCACAATCGGGGGATATAAACGGACGCATACTGCCGTTCTAAGGGAAAACGCCGTATGAACCTCCAGGCGTTGCCAAATTTCATTTGATGTAATCTTCATTTTTTTATAGGAAAGTTATGAATATTTTTCTTTCAATTTTTCAGAGAATTTTATTCGCATAATCTTCCAAAGTTCCTGAAAATTTCAAGGAAAAATATTCATAACTTTCCTAAAAATTAAACATTTTTATCAAAGGAAATTTGGCAACTCTCGAATGTTCATACGGCGTTCTTCCTCAGCACGGGAGAATACAAGCAGAATGAACCTAACTGCATTGAACATTGCCTGATGGACTGATTTAGTGACTACGTCATTCGAAAGATCGAACTTTTGGTTCAAATCAAAACAAACAAACATAACCTCATGTACGAATTCTTCATGAGTTATTTGTGATAATTTGTTGAAATTCAGTCACTAACCGGTCATAAATCAATTAAAGACTCATTATACACGAGAAATTTTGATAGTGAGGAACACTTTGACGCATTTAACCATCATGACGAAAATGGCGCGAATCAGTTAGGTACAAGGTTCTGAGTTTGTTTACATTTGAACCAGGGGTTTGATATTATATCAAATGGCGTACCCTTAAATCAGTCTCGGTAAAATGTAAAAGAAAAATTCACTCAGATTCAGTATCCATATAGAACTTTCCTTGGAGCCACTCAGGTTTAGTACGAGTGTAGAACAATTCCTTGAATCGCTCAGATTTTTTAAAGAGTCGCCCTGAGTAATATTCAGGGGCG